ACAAAGCGTGAAACAATGTGTGTGGATAAGGGACCAAGCTGGATGGATGCAATTGTAGCATTCTTAAAGGAAGGAAAGCTGCCAGATGACCACAAAGAGGCACACAAGATCAGATTGAAGTCGGCAAGATTCAGTCTGACAGCGGAAGGACATCTCTACAGAAGATCCTTCACTGGACCCCTTTTAAGGTGTGTACATCCTTTACAAGTTGAAGATTTTTTTATATGAAATACATGAAGGAATTTGTGGAAGCCACGCTGGGGGCAGATCACTAGCTCATAGGGCCATCACCCAAGGATATTGGTGGCCCTACATGTAGAAGGATGCAAAGGCCTATGTCAAGAAGTGTGAAAAGTGCCAAAGGTTTGCGCCACTGATACACCAACCAGCAGCATACCTGAACCCAGTATCCAGTCCTTAGCCGTTTGCCCAATGGGACATGGATCTCGTTGGGCAACTGCCCCAAGCAATTGGACAAAGGAAGTACCTACTGGTAGCAACAAATTACTTCACCAAGTGGATAGAAGCTGAGCCTCTAGCCAAGATCCGAGATGTGGACGTGAAGAACTTCATATGGAGGAACATCATCACCCGATTTGGGATTCCAAGAGCAATAGTTGTCGACAATGGAACACAATTTGACAGTAAGCTAATCAAGAGCTTCTGTGCAAAATTCAAGATCAAAAATTATTTTTCAATCCCAAGCTTTCCTCAAAGCAATAGACAAGCAGAAGCATCCAACAAAGTTATCCTGGATAGGATAAAAAGAGGCTACAGGCAGCGAAAGGAAAGTGGATGGATGAACTGCCAAGTGTACTCTGGCATATCGGACTACGCCGAGAAGATCAACTGGCGAATCCTCATTTGCCATGGCTTATGGCACAGAAGCAGTCATTCCTCTAGAGGTCGGCATCCCAGGGATCAGAACCCAGGGAGTAGAAAATGGGACCAATGATGTATTATTAGCCCGAGATTTGGATCTACTAGAAGAGAGAAGGGAGAGAGCTGCAATTTAGCTGGCAGCATACCAGCAGCAGCTTGCCAGGGCTTATAATAAGAGGGTTAACCCAAGGGAGTTCCAAGTCGGCGACCTGGTCTTGAGAAAAGTTATCGCAACAAAAAGGATCCCAGAGAGGATAAGCTTGACCCAAATTGGGAGGGACCCTACAGAATCACTTCGGTATTGGGCAATGGGGCATATCGACTTGAAGATAATGAGGGCAAAGAGTTGCCAAGACCCTAGAATACTTGTAATCTGAAATTTTTCTATCATTAGATTTTCCTTGTTTTTTTCCGAAGTAATGAATAAAATTTTAGCAGAATTCTTCTACATTTATGACTGATAAGATACTTGCCGATGTTTCTAGAATACATGCGTAATGAGAACCCAAGTGGAACTTAAGTTCACATTCGGGGGCAGAGAGTTGGAAAATGGTTCTAACACTTGTTGAAATTTGTAAAAAAATTTACAAGTTGGAGTTAAACTATGGATACGTCTAACACTTGTTGAAATTTGTGAAAAATTTACAAGTTAAAGTTAGCCGAGATACTGTTTAACACTTGTTGAAATTTGTGAAAAATTTACAAGTTAAAGTTAAACTATGGATATGTCTAACACTTGTTGAAATTTGTGAAAAATTTACAAGTTGAAATTAACCGAGATTATGTTTAACACTTGTTGAAATTTGTGAAAAATTTACAAGTTGAAGTTAAACTATGGATACGTCTAACACTTGTTCAAATTTGTGAAAAATTTGCAAGTTGAAGTTTGCTGAGATAATGTTTAACACTTGTTGAAATTTGTAAAAAATTTACAAGTTGAAGTTAGCCAAGATTATGTTTAACACTTGTTGAAATTTATGAAAAATCTACAAGTTGAAGTTAAACTATGGATACATCTAACACTTGTTGAAATTTGTGAAAAATTTACAAGTTGAAGTTAAACTATAGATACGCCTAACACTTGTTGAAATTTGTGAAAAATTTACAAGTTGAAGTTAGCCAAGATTATGTTTAACACTTGTTAAAATTTGTGAAAAATTTACAAATTGAAGTTAAACTACGGTTATGTTTAACACTTGTTGAAACTTGAGAAAAGTTACAAGATTGTACCAGGAAAGGTACTTATGTACTTGCCGAAGTACACCATTGGCTTGTATAACCGAGGTATGTCACCCCGAGAAGGTGGCACAAGACTAAGGTGTGCATTGAAGATATGCAAAATATTCTAAAGTATGGAATCATACAAAAGGAGCAAAGGAAAGACAAATATGCAAGCAAAACAAAAAAACTGTACTAACATTCAAAAGGAGTCATGTCGGCCAAAGCCTACAATTGTCCCAAAAGAAGAAAAACAAAAGTACAAAGTATAAAGGAAAGGGACATCGAAATTAAGACTCTTCAGCAACAGTAGATGGTTGGGTTTGAAGTTCAGAAGACTGTTGGGTAGACATCTCGACAGCCTTCTCAGCCGCGAGCTCGGCATCTATTTCCTGCAGGGTTTGATCAAGGCTCTTGTCGGCAATAGGCACGTCCGATATCACCTTTTGAGGTGCAGCATTCATGGGAACCTCCTCACCCTCCTCATCTTGAGTCAAGTCCAGGACTTGCTGATTTTGAGAAATGGACTTGGCCCCAGCAACGTCTTTTGGCTTCCTCACCAAAACCTCATCTTCAGATTCAGAGTCGTCGTCGGAATGGCTTGGAGTCGGGGAGAATGGCAGAGGAAGGACGTCGGTATTCCTGAGGGGGGAGTCATCAGTCATTGGGGATTTCGAGCTTTTTAAGTAAAGTCATCCAACCAAAGGTGAAACCCTTATTGCATTTCTCGTAATCCGCCGTGACGTCGGCCACCCCCTCGTTGTATCCCTTCTCATCGGCGGCCTTGACTTCGACCTCTTTTGTGGCCAAGGCTTCTTGAAGTTCCTTCTGAGCCTGAGTCATCTTTTCCTCGGCCTCTCTCTTTTCGGCCTTGAGAACTGTCACGACCCAAACCCGCCCCGAGAAGGTTGGTATCGTAACCGGCCAGTAATCCTAGATTACCATAGGCCTTTCTGTACAAAACATATATAACCGAGGCTTGCGGAAGCGAAACAAAACACTAATAGTCCAAAGAGCTGTGCATTTATATGAACATACATTACATGCCAAAAATGTTAATTTACCCACTACATTACATCACATATAATCAAAATTCATGTACAAAACATAGGCTCACGCCACATGTACAACCAAAACCAAGCTTCCTAACGGCCTTCAAGGCCTAGCCCCATCTCGGAGGCACCAAAACACCGGGTAGGCTTCAAAACGGCGGCTCGGCTCGGACTCCGCCTAGGCTTGACTCCCAGAGTGCTCACCTATAAATACATATATACAAACAATGAGCTAAAGCTCAGCAAGTAACATTAAAGTAAAGGGGTAGTGAACGAATTCCACATTTCATATATCCATAAAATAAATCATTCATAAACATAATCGTCTCAGATCAGAACATACATAATGGCATACTCCATAGAACATAACATTTGTCGTCCAACGACTAGAGTAACCGGTCCCGGACACCGATTAAACACATACCGAGATCTCGTAAACTGGTCCACTTAGGACTATCTATGGATGCCATACTAGATTCGCAAACTGGACATTCGTTCACAGAAAACATTTATCATTTCAAAACCATAGCATAACGTTGCACTTTTAAACATAGATCATACTAACATATCTTTACAGAAATGTTACTCACAGTGGGTTTCCAAAACCGGTTGCACGGTCTTCGCCTCCTGACCTGCAATTATCAACATTATAACACATTTCTTCAATACACATTATCATTAAATCACTTAATTCATGCCATTCTATCTTTTCTTTACTCTATTTCATGATTATGAGATGCTAAATGATGCAAATGACATGTGAAAATCATGTAATTCAACTTCTCAAAACTTCCTGAAATAAGTCCCCCGCTCGAGCGCCACTTTGTCCGCTCGAGCGGACTGCACAAATCCAAAACTACTGGGAGGCCGATTTTCACGCTCGAGCGGGAATCCCTCCGCTCGAGCGGACCACGCGAAAATCTGAAATTCTGGACTCTCCTCAAGCTTCAATTTCTCCTTTGCCAAAACAACTTCAAAGTGATGAAACCCAAGTCCCAAAACACTTGAAAACCACTTGATTTAGACCTTACAACTTCTCAACAAAACCCACATGCATCATGTACAAGATCAAACCATGAATTGAGGTGAAGAATCATAACTATTCATGTAAAAGCTTCATTTCTTCATATCCATGGAGGTTTTTCCTCAAGAATGCCAAATATAAACATAAATCATCAATTTATGCCATACATGCTCAAATTAAACATATTTCTTCTTCAATCCACTTATTTACCATGAGGTCATGCATGAATCAACCTTATTTCAAGAAATTAGAGAGGAATTCTTACCTTGATTGTTTAAATGAAGAAGATAGCTTGATTTCCCCTTTCTTTACTCTTCTTCCTCCCTTGGTTCTCCCCTCCACGAATTCTTCTCTCTCTCTCTCTCTCTCTCTCTTTCTAGATTTTTCTTTTATTATTTTGAGTCAAAACATGGTCAACATCCTTATCTATATGTACATATATGTCATAAAAATAAAATTGTGCCATAATCTTGAGCCAAATAAGGCTTAACGAATCAGACGAAATTCAGTCTTCAATTTATTTTCCCAAATGGCTCTAAAAATTCCTGGTATCACATAGGCGTATTCAATTTTGTTTTCTGAACCCATTATGGTCATCAATTTCAGTCCCAAAGTTCTCATCTCAATAGATATTCTTCTAATTTAAACAGATATTCTTCAATTAATTCGCATAAACACATAATTAATTACTGATAAATATGACACATGTTTTGGGGTCATTACAAGAATCTTCTTGATGGCCTCAGCGGATTCTGTTTTTTTCTCGGCATCATCCTTAGCCTTGATAGCAGCCTTGGCTTGATCCTCCAAGGTCTTCATTTTTGATTGCAAGTTTTTATTAGTCTTCTGTAGACTAGCAGCCTCCCTCTTCTTATCGGCCAGCTCCTTCCAATTCTCAAACGCTTGCAGTGAGAAAGAATGAGTATGTTGGATGGCCTGAAAGTGAACAGAGCAGAAGTTATTAGAACATTTTCAAAGTACAAAAAAAAGAAATAAGGATACCAGGTATAAAGACTTACTTGAACAGAGTGCTGGAGCATCAGGGCAAAATTTTCATACTCGCTCATATCGGCGTTCCGGTTGAGATCGCCGGGAAGAAGCAGAGCGGTACTAAGGGCTACGCCGACATTAACATCGTCGGCGCTATCACCAGCTTTGACTGGCCTGTCCTTTAATGTGATCCGGGGGCCCAGAGGGAATCATGCTTCAAAGACCCCGAGGTGATTGCAGATGATGACCTCGGCCTCTTGGATCTAGCAGACTCGGATGGTTGGGTTTCGACAGGCCTCTTTTCAGCAGCAGAATTGGACTTATCACTCTCAGCCAATTTGGAGATTGGCAAGGTGTCCTCAGTGTCAATCTGAGTTACCGTTGCCTTTGGCTGAGCCTTCTTCAGGCGTTTTTTCGGCTTTGGTTGAGGCTGGGTTTGTGCTGGTTGATCACCAACTTCGTCAGGAATATTGGCCAAAAGATCATTAGCAACTGCCTTCTGGCGGCCCATCTCGGCAGCAAAAACAGTTCGTCGCCGGCGTTAACGTTGGGATATTGGGATCAGATAAGGAGCCGAAGTTGATGGCTACTCTGCTGGATCAAAAGTCGATCCTTGATCTGGCCGAGATGTGGAGGCAGCTTGAGGAGTTGTGGTGGAAAGAGGAGACAGACTCTTCTTCTTCTTCTTTGGAACGTTGGGAAGAACCGACTTATAGGTCGGGATAAAGTTGAGTAGCAGGGGAGCTTTGCGCTTGTGGGCTAGAAGGTCCAGTAGCTTCTTCAGACCTTTGCTGGGGAAAAAAGACTTTCAGAAGCCTTTTTCTGGTTTTGGAAGAGCTGCAAGAAAAAATAGATATTAGAATAAACAAAGTATTGAAGACTTTAAAAACAAGTAAATATGAGCACAGGGCTCTTACCATCACCCTCTACAAAAATTGTTCGAGGAAGAGGGTAGGGGTGGAGGTCCTCGTCTGGATCGAACTCTCAGTTTCTCGAGGTAATGAAGTAATCATCCCCAGCTCCTTTGTTGGAGTCTGGGAGGTCGGCAATAATTTTGTACTCTGTGGACCTCGGTTTGAGGTAGTAAACATAGCCTGTATCTTTTTTGAGGCCACACATGGTATAGCAATATTGGATGTCGGCTAAGGTAACCTTAGCATTTTCTTGTTTGGCTAAGGCAATTATACCATTTATGATTCGGTAGGAATTGATGGCAAGCTGCATTGGGTTCAACTTATAATAATGGATTATCACACGAAAAAGGATATCGAGTGGGAACCGAAATCCGCACTCGATGAAAGCTACAACTGGGAGGGGCATAGAATTAGCTGTGGACATGATAGAGTCATCCTCCCCAGCCAACCTCAGATTTACGTCGGCAGGGATGGAAAACTCTTGCCTAAAGTATTCTAGCTTGGTCAGGGTGTCTACCCTATGCCTCCACATACCCATAATATCGGCTTAAGTGAAAAGTGTGAGACTTCGGAAGGGAATGTTTTGTGATGATTTTGAATGACCTCGGCTAAAAATGACTAAATACATTTCAGTTTTTCCTAAGAATTTGTGGGTTCTACAAACAAATCCCAAACCTAGATCTACAGGAACAAAGATTGAAGGCAGAAATCTGGAAAAGGCACAGAAAACAAGAACGTGTTTCAGAATCAAGAACAAGGATGAATTACCAAGAACACTATGACAAAGTGTGTGCAAGGGTACAAGGCCAAGAATAATGGCAAAAGTGAACAAATGTGTGTGCAGGTTGTGAATACTCAAGAAAAGATTGGGCAAAAACAGAATCACGGGGCAACCATACTCAGATACATGAACAGATTAAACTAATCAAGGTCATAAGCAAGTTCGCAAAAATGACAGAGATTCAAGATACCATCAAAAATTGAAACGAGAAGTTAAATCGGGAGGAAACAGTAACTCACCGAAGAGGGGAAGCCAGTGTTGAGATCGCCGAAGTCAGATGAACGGTGGCAGCAGAAAAAGAGCCTCGTCGGAAGAAGTGAAACAGCGGTGGCAGCAGAGCTTCAGACCTTGGAACAATGGACGATTAGAGAAAGTAAGAGATAGAAAAAGTTTGAACAAAGACGATGTAAAGTGAAAAGACGAAAGGAGAAAGAAGTTTTGTCAAAACTCGAAACGGCGGCAAAAAGGTAATTAATGTGCCTAAAACAACGTGTGCGTCAGACGGCGCACACAGGCGTAAGACAATTTACAAATGCGTATCAAGTACGATCCAGTAAGGGGAAGACATGTAGCTAAAACGGTTGAGTTATTGTGTACGATAGCTCATACGCGTGAAGGAGCTCTTGAAATTCATGTTCTTTAAAAAAGACATGTCAGCCTATATGATGATCTCGGCTAAAGAAATTTTAAGCCGACGTACTAGAAGGAAGTTCTGGTATAGGTTTCATCACCTCAGATTGCTGAGGTAATAGAACCTAGGAGGCAGTTGTGGGGATATATTCTCTGAGTATCAACACGTGGCCAAGGTGACGCCGATGTGTCAGCCGAGGTGCCACGTGTCCCGGTCGTGATGCCGAGGTTATCTCGGCTGGGTCGAGGTTACCTTCGAAGATATCGGAATCCGAGATAAGCGGATAAGGCACAAGAGTCCTAGAATGAAGAAGGATCTCAACTTAGATAAGGATAAAGCTCTTAGAGAGTTTATCTTTATCCGTTGGAGAGTCCAGGATGAGCATTGAGCTAAAAGTCCATGGAAGCTAGGCTTCTATTAGGGTTAGGATTGAGTTGGCTATAAAAGAGAGGCACCCTCATGGGTCTGAGGTACGTAATTTATATTCTGAACAGTGAGATTAGTACTACTATTGATTATCTTTGAGATATACTGACTTGATCGTCGGAGTGCCCCCGGGTGGACGAACCACCGCCGGAATCTTCTCTTTTTGTTGTAGGTCAGTCAGGTGCTATCTATTCTGCCAGTGCTCTCCAGCTGAATACTGAGTTTGGCAGTGTGGACAGAAATTCACTCACACAGTCACTCTGCTACCTTAATTATCCCTACCTCTACAGCCCTTGCCACTGCCCATTCACATCCACCACTACCATCACCACCATTATCTTTTTCACCTATCATGGCCACTATCACTCTACAAACGCCGTTAATATTGTTGTTGCTGCCATCATCACCATGTTACTGTTTACCTCAAAAATAAAAAAATTAAAATTTTATTTTCTTGTATTTATGAAACGATTAAATTAAATTTAGGATATTTTTGCACATATACCAAACAGATTTTGAAATTAAAAAAATTAACTTTCAATTTTTAGTATTTTATTTTTAAATTTCAATTTTCGCTGCTATACATATCTTTGGATGGTCGTTTAGCCAACTTAACGGTAATATTCTAAATGGATTTGACAGATCTAAACCTCCGAATAGATCATAGGCTAATATTAAACAAACTTATTGGATAAAAAATCAATCCTAAATCAAGGAGATGAAGTCAAAACTTTTTGTTTAGAAGGACTAAAGTAAATTTAGCAAAAAAGAAGTTCGTTTTTGGTAAAAGATAATTAACGCAAGTGTTTTAAAATTCTAGTAAGAAAACAAATAGATAAATCTATATCAGTCATTCTTAATATTTATTTGAATTATTTCATATATTTTTTGTGAGCTATATTAATAAGATCCTAGTGTATAATTGATCAGACTAAATTAAAGGCATTTTATTGGCCTGAAATGATATAGAACCCCCCTTTTTTTTTATCCCCACAACTTCCACAGACACATATATAGGGTAGAAAAAAATAAAAAGTTAACCAATTACAATGCATTGGGGTGGTGGGGGTTCCCAAAAAGATGGTCCCAATCTTTTTTCTTTATTAGCTAGCATAACTTATGTATCACCTCCTCTCGGAGGGTGTTATTCGGCACTGGAGGACCCTAATCATATAAATTGTATTTACATCCATAGCCTTAAACGATAAATTAATCTTCCAATACTACTCTAAAAAACTTTGACTGCAACCCTCTTTAGAATATCCACTCAAATGCCTCCCAGGCAAACAAAACTTAAAAACAATTGGGACAGAACTTGTTTTTGGTCACAGTGATCACACAACTTCAATTAACTGCTGTACATTGCAAAATCGGTAAATTCTCTACCAAGTCGAAGGTTAGCATGGAGACCCTAGGCTTAGGCAGTTGTCCTGAAAATCCCGCCGGTTGAATTGGTGGCACTATCCTCTCGCATGTGCTGAACCACTTAGCTTGCATGTATTTGTGCTTTCTCCATGGTCCCATGTGCATCTTTCTATCTTTCATGCACTTCTTAGCTGATGAACACAATATCTTAATTAGGGCTTGTAACCTTTCAGCTTTACCAACAAACAGATCAGGCAACCGACTAGTTAATCGATTGTATTCTTCATTAGCTCTGGCCATCTCAAACTCGGCCCTAAAATTCAACTCAATAACCACTCTAACTTCCTTTTTCTTTGAGTTAGAGCTATCCAACACTTCCAAATAAGTGTGCTCCCCTGGAAAAAAAATTAAAAATGTACAATCGATTTTAGTAACACAACATAGATGGGTGAGAAACGAGCGCCATATATCATCTTCAAAATAATTAAAAGGTTGACATGTAAGTGATTATGTACCTTTGGGGATATCTGGTGAGCTCCTCCACTTGGATTTGCAAACGGCACAGTTGTAACCAGCCGTTCGAAGGCAGTCAGAAATTTTTCTTTGCAGGCAATTCCGACAACCATCGGCCACTGGTCTTGGACAAGCAGTTTTGAATTGAACAGGTATGAAACCTGTTAGATTCAAATTTAAACAGATTTGAATCTGTTTATTCAAACAGATAGAAACGGGAAGGGCCCTGTTTGGATGAACAAAAAATCCAAACCAATTTAATTTGAATTCTGGATTTTATTTTAATAAAAAATAAAATTAAATTCAAATGTTTTTTGCCAAAAAAGATTAGAAGCCCAACCCAACCACACACCTTGCACCCGCGCCCGACTGGACGGCGGCGCGTGTGGTGATTTTTGGGTCCAATGGGTCTAGCCCATTTTGCCCATAACCTCTCCCTCTAAAATACTTGGGTACCCCTTGGGGCACACCCCAAGTATCTCACCCTAAGCCTTATAAACCCTTTCAAAACTTCCCACCAAATCAATGTGGGACAAGCCAATTTACAACCTTAAGGAATTTCCATCAAAACTCCATTTTCATGGAGCATACTTTGGCTTCAATTTCCCATTCACTCAGTAATGGTTTTGAGCAACCAAATATACCACGTGAATCACAACGCGGCATAGAACGCGTTACCACTTTGACCCGAGTAAATAGACCGAACTTAAGAAAAAATTCTGATTTTATCCATAATTTTATAAGCATTTCCAACAATTTTAAAGTTCATTTGATTGAATTAAAAATTGCAAAAGTGATTATTCTCAATCATATACTTATCCTAATCAGCTTCGTGGTGGGTACAACTCATTGCAATAAAAAATAAAAAATAAAAACTCATTGCAATCATGCAGCGTTGTAATTTTGAATTCTTTCCAAAAAAAATAGGACTTCTATATATTTTTTACTCTTATGTTATGTTATGTTTCGTCTATTGAAATGAAATAATTATTTCATTCTAATATTTATTTTCACATTTGGTTCATTAAAAGAATGATTAAAATATATATTATAAATAAAATTATCATTTATCGTTGTGAAGAAATAGTCATTTTATAGAGAAGATTAAAAATATATATATATTCAATTTCATTTCAATGAACCAAACAATATTAGGGCCGACCCTGAGCTATTAGGGGCCTTTAAAATTGGGTCCTTCATATATCATTACCCAAATAAAATAAAATAAAATTGTTTAGACAAAACAAAAAGGATAAAAATTTATTTCTATTGCATTACAATTTAACAAAATTTAGATAACAAATATATATATATATATAATAGTTGAACTTCAATTAGTTGAATCGAATATTTATTTTTTAGCTTACCAATGCTATAATAACTAAAATTAATTGGGGGTAAGGATGAGAATTTTTTACACAATTCAAGCAATATATAAAATTAGCAAGTTATGGTTGACTATTTTTCAACATGAATCCAAGTATGAAACGATTCAATAACATGAATTATTAGTTATATATTTTAATGTTCACTAAGAGATTCCATGACATTTTTTAATCTTTTATTTAACTCCATCTAACTGAATAAAAAAATATGTAAAATAATAATTAAGGCTAATATCTTTTTTATTATTATTTAAGATATGTTTTTTTGTTATCTATTTTAGAGTCAATCTAGTAAAAAATATATGGTAATGAGGTGCCATTTTTTTAATTAGAAAAATGCAATTGAATTAAAATCAAACATTCTATGAATAATTTCATTTAGTAGAAATAAATTTTATAAAATTCAACTTATGAGAAAAAATTTAATTTCTCTATACACTTGCTAAGTTATTTTTAACTAAAAGTAAAAATTTTTACATTAAATATCAATCGGATACGAACCAAAATAATACCATACGATAACATGAAAATAAATTAATTGAGCTAATATTTAAGTAATTATGAAATAACACCACATGATACACTCCCCTAGTTAGGGGCCCTAAATTTTGTTCAAAATTGGAGGCCCGAGGCGATCGCCTTAATCGCCTCACCCCAGGGCCAGCCCTAGTCAAGGGCCCTAAATTTTGTTCAAAATTGAAGGCCCGAAGCAACCACCTTAGTCGCCTCACCTCAGGGCCGGCCCTGAACAATATACTTCTATAATATTAATAGTTCAAAAATGAAGTTCTATTAAATTTTTTGAAAAATAATTGAAATTCTAAATAATTTAGAAGTAATGGATGATTAGTTGTTAAATGCATGAATTGTTTAAAAAATATTGATAAGTTACAATAAAAAAAAATTGTTGATTACCTTCACAGTTGGTTAACAATTTGTAAAATCTTAAATCAATTTAAGTTGTGTTTGGTTGAGAGATTTGCAAAGAAATTATTGACTACCTTTTCCTTTTTTATTTTTATTTTTTTCTTCTAATCTTTCTTAAATTTCTCAACTAAACACAACCTTAAAAATGTAAAAACTATTTTTACATCCGTAAATCAATTTAGGATTTTACACAAAATTCATACAACACTACAAGAAAAATCACCTTTGGCGACTAAAAGGTCCATTTTTAATCGCTGAAAGTCGAGTTTTTACTTTTCCCGACTAAAATTTTTAGTCGCCTGTTTTGTTGCGTATACATGGTCGCCGGAGGTATTGGCGACTAAAATTTTTTTAGTCGGCAAAAAACAACTCTTTAGCGACCAACGTTTTAGTCGCCAATAGTGATTTACAATTTTTAAAATCACACATTTAGTGACTAATCTTTTAGTCGCCAATACTTACTGAATCGCCGACTAAACCATTTAGTCGCCAAAATAAACACTTTTGGCGACTAAAATTTTAGTCGCCAAAGGTGCTTCCGTGAAAAAAAAAAATACCAACTTTTTTGTTTTTTCTGATATTCGAACCACCAACCTATCCCACTTTCTAAACCTTTAGCAACACACTCCCTCCACTATGCCACTACAACACCACATGAATATATATATGCAATATATATTATTTATATAGTATATTTTCGCCGTATTAATATAAAACTATATATATAAATATAATTATTTTTATTCAATATAATTTATGTAAAAAATAAATTATTTACTAAAAAAAATTGAGGTCACTTTTGGCGACTAAATCTATTATTTTGTCGCCAATTCTATAATTTTGGGCTACTAATTAATTTTAAGTCGCTAAAAAAATTCATTCCGCCTAAAACTAATCAGTTTTGGCGACTAAACCTGTTTTTAGTCGCCAAAAACGTCCCCTTTTGGCTACTAAACTGAACTTTAGTCGCCAATTGCCTGTTATTAGCTACTAAATTTTTTTTAGTAGCCAAAAAACTTCACTTTCAGTGACCAAACTGTTTTTAGTCGCCAAAACACGGAGAATCGGCGACCAAACTGTTTTTTAGTAGCCAAAACCTACACTTTGGCTACTAAATTATTTTAGTCGCCAAAAACTGTCACTTTTGGCTACTAAAAAGCCTTTAGTCGCTAAAACCCCTATATTCGGCGACTAAACTGACTTTTAGTCGCTAAAACCCTTATATTCGGCGACTAAACTCTTTTAGCCGGCAAAAGTGATCAATTTTGGCGACTAATTCCATTTTAGTCGCCAATTCTACTACTTTCAGCAACGAAAAATCCAGTTTTAGTCGCGAAATTTGCTTTTTGTTGTAGTGCAATGACAATAAATTTTAAAAAAAATAAAATTAAAATTTAAAAAAATAATAAAATAAAATAAAAAAACAGAATTAATAGGTTCACTTGAATTAAGAGGTTCACTATTATTTTTTCTGTGTGTTTATCAAATTTAAAATTTCAAGTACTTTTGTTCAATTGTTCCCTTATAGATTTGCTTTTTGGTCTTCCATACGAATGTCAAATCTAAAGTATATATTGTTCAAGTACTTTTGCTCATTTGTCCACTAAAATACGTATGTTTACAATTATTTCTCATTTTAATAACATAAAATTTCATTTTAATCTTTGTACAACAAATAAAAATAATATATATATATATATATGTTTTTTTTGTATTTTATATTGTTTGTAGAATTTATAATTCCCAGTCTTATGTACCGAATTGATTTGTTTTTTTATGGATTCATAATGTATAAAAAAGAAATTTGTGAAAATTAGTAAATATATATATATATATATATATTTTAAAGGTTTGTGCATATTATGTTGTACATATTTTATTTATCAAATATATTAAAATTAAATATTACATTGCACATAATTAGAAATGTTTGTCCTACGTTATATTATAAATATGATACGTATGTACATGATTAGAGAAAAATATGAATCACATAATATAACTTATGTTAGAAATTGGGCGTTCATGTGGCATGACCTTTTGAACCTGAACCTTTTGAATCTTATCCTTGTAAGTTTGAATTTGAATTCAAAACTTATTTGAATAATCATTCAGGGTATCTATATCTATCATATCAATAGATATGGATAGATGGATAGATAGATATTGGTTGATATATATTTAATAATATGCATCTAATATGATGTGAGATACGTATATCAGATATGTTATGTAGTTTTTACCCATAACTTTTTTTCCCAGACTCTCTCTCTAACTTTCTCCCATATGAGAACAATCCAGCTTCTGCACTGTGACTTGTGTGGGTGATACTCATATTGTAGTATCACTCCACTGCTGGGTTGGTTGTTCACATCCTGGAAGCACGTGATTTACCCACGAGATTTTTCGCTTTAGGTTCTTTTACCTAAAGGTATGACTATGATATTTTTCATCCGCTGCATCATAATACTTTTTGATTTACATTAGTATCAGAGCCAATATGGGTATTTTCATGCTTATTTTTATGCATTAAAATATGTGTATATTTTATATAAATATATATACATGATATATGCATGAATATTAATAAATGAGGAAGATGTTCACTCTCATTAGATTAAGAACGTAAAATACCTCATTTTTATGTTCATTAAATATCATTTTTAATGCCATAAATGTATTAATTTTGGAAAATGGAGTCTGGCAGTACCGAAATTGGACCAGAAAATACCGAAATTGGAGGCCTTTGTTATTTAAGGTGGGTGAGCATATTTTTCTGAAAATATCACCTAGGCGGGGTTTGATGAGGTTTGGAAAGTTATCCCCTCGGTTTATTGGCCCTTTTGAGATCCTTGAGCAGATTGGAGAGGTTGCCTACCGTTTAGCATTGCCGCCGCAGTTGTCCGGAGTGCATGACGTGTTTCATGTTAGTATGCTTTAGAAATACAAGCCGGATTCGTCGCATGTATTAGATTGGACCGACTTAGAGGTTGATGAGGATGCCTCGTCTGAGGAGAGACCGATGCGGGTCTTGGATAGGCAAGATCAAGTCTTGCGAGGCAAGACCATTCCCTTGGTAAAAGTTTTGTAGAAACATCACGGGATTGAGGAAGTCACTTGGGAACGCGAGTTAGATGTCCGTGAGAAATATCTAGACTTGTTTGATAATGTTTAACCATGTATTGGAAGTTTTGTTTTATTGATAAACTTTAAGAACATTGAATATGTCTTAAGTTGTAAAACATTGTATATGTTTTGATTTATGGGAGTATTGTAATGGTGGTTATGCCTTGAAAATGGAAGATAATTTAGCATTGTATATGTTGAATGTGTGGTAGGAATGCAAATATATCATTAACATTGAATATGTTATGAAATGGTGGAATATGGTATTGGAATTTGTTGAATTTCAAAGAAATGCATGTTGTAGCATATATTGTGATTGCCTCTTGAATAGAGATGGAATGATTGGTAATGGGTCAGGATGTGGAATATTGAATTGCCATATTGTTGAGAATTGAAAAATCACAATTTTGTATCTTATATCTAATTTCGGGGACGAAATTTTTTAAGGGGGGGAGGTTATAGCGTTTCCGGTTTTCTCTCCATTGTTATTGTATTCCGGACTTAGGTTCCATGGTATTGGTTGTTGTTTATATCTTGTTTATGTCCTTTAATTCCTTGTATTCGAATTTTGGGATGTATTGGGCAGGTGTGTTACAGGTTGGTAGTGAGTTTAAACCAATAGTTGCTACCCAGATTTTTTCTTCTTCGCTCGAGCGAGGCTTTTGTCCCTTAAGCGAGCTCTGTGTTTTGGTTCCTCGCTCAAGCCAGGGTTCCTTCGCTCGAGCTAGAGTTGAGTGTTGTGTCTTGTGGCTCGAGCGAGAAGTCTTGTGCTCGAGCATGCGTCTGTGTCTAGTTTTGGACCTGAAGGTTGTGTTTCTTGGCTCGAGCGAGCTTTCCTTCGCTCGAACGAGCGAGGACTATGTTTTGGGTTTCTTCGCTCAAGCGAGCTTTCCTTCACTCGAGCGTGCTTCTGGGTTATAGACCTGAAGGTTCGTATTGTTGGCTCGAGCGAGGCTTTCTGCGCTCGAGCGAGGTTTCTTTGTGTCTGGTCGCTCGAGCAACCACTCCTTTGCTCGAGTGAACTTTGAATATATCAGTTGGCAGCAGCGGGTTACACTTCACTTTTTCATCTCCTTTTTCTCTCAAACCCTAGAACGGCTGCCTCTCTCTCTAAACCATCACTTCTCTCTACAAACCCATCTAGTTCTAGTGGTCTCCTACCCTAGTTCTTTTGTATAAAGTGTAGAGCTTGGTGTAGGCTCCATTTCAATCTGAAAATCTTTGGGTTTGGAGCATTTCGAGTTTCATCATCTTCTCCATTTGGTCTCTCCATTTGAGATAGGGATAACCTACTCCTTTCTATGGGTTTTGACATAGATATTATGTATTTTGTATAAATGGTGGATCATGGTGATTTTGGGAAAGCTAGGGTTTGTTATGAGGTTATGAAAAAGGGGGTTTTCAAATGTTAAACTCCATGTGTATGTGAGACCTTGGGAAATAGGATTATTGTTGTTAAATTGATGAAATTGAACCCTAGGGTTGATAATGGAAAAAGAAGAAAAATGCCCTAATTATGTTGAATAATTAATTTGGGGAATTGTGAAATTGGGTTGGAAATTGTGAAATTGGGAAATTATGAGGTTGATTAGTGTAGTTGGATAAATTAAGAAAATGTTGTTATTTTATCTGTTTAATGCATTTATTATCTATTTAGAAATAACTGTTTTGGGCTATCGGTGGAGGATAGTCTTGATTGTTGTAGACACTGTATGTTGATTAGGGAAAAGTGAAACTAATCACTTGAAATATGTTATTGAATATGACAGTTAGAATAATACATTGAATATATGTATTGATTGATCATTGTATATGATTGAATATTTAAATACATTGTATATATATCTTGTTTGGGAGGAGATAGGGGATGTACTCCATGGTTTGAGGGAAGATAGGGGATGTACTCTCAAACCTGTTTGGGAGGAGATAGGGGATGGACTTCATTGATAACTAAGTTAGCCGGAGTGTCCAGGATGAAAGTCCCGAAATTCTACTTACGTTTGCATAACGTAGGTAATTGAAGTATTGGAAATGTTTTTGACATGAGTTGTAGTCTCATTTGAATTGTGAACAAAGAAAGTGTTTTAATATGGGATGTAGTCTCATTTAATTGTTTGGCCAGGTTCTGAGCCATGTTTATGAATTGAATTGGTTAAGTAAAGGAAAGTGGAATGAAACATGTACATATTTGTCGTGGAACTGGATTGTGTTGTAAGTTGGTTTATAAGTGTTAGCCATTTATCAAATGCTAATGTTTTAGTTATTGCTCATATCTGGTTTAGTATATCTCTGCTGGGCTTTGGCTCACCCTATATGGGACATCATTTTCAGGTTCAGGTGATATGCCACCTCCAAGGACGTAGCTTGAAAGGTTTTGGGAGTTGAAGACTCTTTTGGTCGTTTTGTTCTTTTGGTATTACATGTAAATTCAAGCCAAGGGCTTAAAGTGTATTTGAGTTAGTACTCTCTTTTTGTAACCAAGTGTTGGCTTGAAAAGTTGTAAGCCCGTAGCGCATTTACTTTTGTTGTCAACATGTAATACTTTGGTAATGAATACTCTGATAAATGGAAATTATGCTTTATTCTCTTATGTCTATGCATGTTAAGAATGTGGATTTATATGTTTTATTTTGGAGGCGTTACATGCCATAGTCAGTGGGAGGTTATTCGGTTGAGAGAAATCTTTGTAGATTAACTCCCGAAAACCAATATTTTGCGCAGCATTTACTTTTGTTGTCAACATGTAATACTTTGGTAATGAATACTCTGATAAATGGAAATTATGCTTTATTCTCTTATGTCTATGCATGTTAAGAATGTAGATTTATATGTTTTATTTTTGAGGCGTTACATGCCATAGTCAGTGGGACGTTATTCGGTTGAGAGAAATCTTTGTAGATTAACTCCCGAAAACCAATATTTTGCGCATAAATTAAATTAAATTTTGGATAATTGTCACTTGTGGCGCAAGAGATGATTACAAGCATAGCGGATTTTCGATCTTACGACTTGTGTAATATTGTCACTATTTAATTTAGATTTTTGTGGTAAAATTATATTATGCTAATCAAATTAATCCCAATGCGAATTTCTCTCTAAATTGATTTAGCTTATGGAAGTTAATTTGGTTGACCTAGACTTAGTAGAGATGTTCAAATGTGAATAATGTAATCCCATTCTTTAGATGAGCAAAAATCTTGGAGACTTTAGGTCAAACCTTAATTGAGCCAAAGTAAGGAAGCATGACTCAAAGTCGCTGTGGTTTTGTTGTCTTGTTTGGCATAATAAAAACTAATGTGTGCGCTATGGTTAGCGGTACGCTACGTAGTTTTGGTTGGCTAGTTTTGGAGTTATGAAATTAGTAAGCCCTCAATAGATCTGTATATGATCTTGACTAATGAGCTGCGCGGATTGACTTTGTACTTTCACTTGTAATGATATTGCATTATTGGACGAAGTAACATTCCAGAGTCACGTCATCCAAGAAATGCGAGCTTAAATGAATTAGTCATTAAGTGTAAGATGAGTAGCTAGTATGAGCAGTGTTTTGTTCTCTACCCAACTATTGGGAATGGATGGAGCAAAATTTCACGCACTATAATAGTGTGCATTAAAGTATCACTTGAAGTTAAAAGATTAGCGCTTAGTAGCAGCAAAATCTATTAACACTAAGTGAAAAGATTAGCGCCAAGTGGCTGCAAAATCTATTAGCATTGCCAACTTGTCTAAGTCTGGACACTTAATGTTTCCATACTTGAGTGTGAGATATGAGGAGGTGCTTCTTTGTATGGTTCCTTAGCTAGGCTAACGTTTTTGAATAACGTTTACCACTAAGCGCAAACGTTGCAACATAGTAATAAAAAGGTCAAGGCTGACAAGGTTGTTATGACTCTAAGAATTCGACACCTGGCTCGTGAGAGCATTGTGTTGAATTAGACTCTTTAGCCTAATTCGCGCTTAAGTTACTTCGGGAGTTGTCATAGATTAATAGCTTATTCTCTCCTTCTTGTGGATAGTAGAATTAATTGCAAGTAACTATAAAGCAAGAAACAGAGATGGCAAGAGGAGTATCTTCATCTTTCAATTAGATGCAATAAAGTGTATGGAGAATAAAATTAACTTGAAAGTGCAGGGGATTGGCACTTACTAGTAAAATTTGCGACTTAGGCGCACTTAGTATCTCCATGACATCCTTTTATGATCTAGTGAATATGAATTAGTCGTGAGTCATTACCTAGTTGGGCCTAAACCTTTAAAACTTGTCTTCAAAAATTCACACATTAGGATGATTGGAATTAGTTTATGACATTGGTCATGAACCAGTGGCTTATTATACTTAATCACATTAATGAGAAGATACATGGATGTTTTGAGTAGGCCCTCTTGGGCCCACTCGCTTGTGACATCCTGCTCTCATATGAATGTGTAACTTTGTTCGCAATGGTTGCGCACAAGTAAGTAGGAAAGCCGTAGAAGGTCATTTGTATTGGCGCATTTAGTCCACTATGATATTTGTAACTAGATATGTGTAAGGGTATAATAGCTAAGCCTCAATCTCGACACATTTATAGATTATGATACGCATCTGAGTCAAGACTATTTGATCTCCCATAAGTCAAAAGTTTTGAGATGATTTTTGACATTGTACATATGAGGTCGAGATCAATTAGATAAGAGCTTTTGTGCTTTTAGTTTTGACCAAGGTGGCGAGTATCTATTTGAGTTATTTTTTAGAAAGCTCTATGAAGAGAAATGGATGCTTAGAAAATTGATTATTCCTAGTACTCAAAAACAACACAATGGTGTAGTAGATATAATGAATTAAATATTGTTAATGTTAGGTGGATAATGACGCAAAATGTTTTCTAATTGGGAATTACACTAGTTTGTTGCCTATATCCCTAACTAAGTGCTCTCCATATCAGATTTTACACTCCATTTGAGTAATGGGATAGCGGAGAGCCATCTATGGACGATCTGTAACCGTTAAGCAGCTTATCTTTATTTTACTTCTCGTAAGGTTATGAAGTTAAGACCTAGGGTTCTATAGCGCATTATTGTATGCTGTCGTGTAAACGCATTGGGTCATGTGGCGCATTATTGTATGCGGTCATGTAAACCTTCCGGGTCATATGTATATAGGTAAGCAGCGTTGTGGTAGTGTAACTAAGTCACATAAAGTTTTCTTAGTAAAGGTGACGTGAATAGAGTTTTGGAACTCTATAAGATAGAGAATTCTAAGCATAGCGCTTTATGTAGCCTAGTTGAGAATGGAAAGAAATTTCCAATATCCTAGGGACAGTAGACAT